TACATTAATTTTTCATAATTTCCTGTTTATCAATGAACTTGTAACCGTTCTGTACCAAAATGACAATTTTTACCGTAATACGTAATTTATCTCGATTCAATTATACACCATTCATTTATGTATCATGTATTATCTTTCCTTCCTCATCATAATGTTACAATCTTCTTCTTTTACCCTGTTCTCTACTATACCACTTCTTTTTCCTCTCCTTTTCTCCTTTTCACATCTTCCTTTTCCCTTTCTCTCTATCCCGGTGCTCCTTGTTATCACATATATTATTACACTGTAACTTGTATTTGCTACTGTATATATTGTTCATTATATCCTGCCGCCTAACCTACTGAGTTGACGGACCTGGTTTTTGTGTGGACATCATCTCTAATAAAGACTTGATTTACCACCAAAAAAATAAAATATCATCTTATGAAACAAATAATACACATCATTTTGTTCGGGCATTAGTAAAATTACCAACATTGGGTACCTTCGAAACAGTCCAAACACCCTAGGCTATCGCCTCGGGCGTGTTTGACTGTTCCAAAGGTATCTTGTGTGGGTAGTTCTTAATAATACCCTCACTGTTGTATATTATTGGTATACCAATGCACATGCTTTCTGTAACAACAATCCTTTCACAATTCATCACCCATATAATGGGCTGAATCAACAACAAAATGAAGCAAAGAAAAAACAAAAACCCATATATACACCCATATGTATAATTAGGGCATTTATATACTAACAAATCGCTAGGGTAGCTCCAAGGTTGATGTATATTTGACAAAGTTTGAATTCTAACTTCAATAATAATAATAGCCTAATAGTCCACTCCAAATTTTATTAAACCGAAACGGAAATTCTTTTTGCCCAATTGGTCGTGAGCCCGGCAGCCACTGAGCAGCGCCAGATCGACGTTGCTCTATCCCTTATTGTTGAACGCCAAACAAGGTAGCAACAACTCCCATCTTTTAACGTCTTTTGGTATGAGGCGGCCGGGGTTCGAACCCACGACCTCCCGGTTGTGAGGCGGACGCTCTACTGACTGAGCCAACACTCCGGTATTAAAGTTTAACGAATGGAAGTAGATTATTGGACAATAATATGAATAAATATCACAATATTGCAGTAGCGATTTACACATAATTATGTTTTAGAAAAGATTGTAATAGTCGAATAATAATAATAATAATCTGGTCTCACTAGTATTTCGCTTTTCATGCAGGCTCTGCAACACATTGGCCAACAATTTCAGCATCGATCAAGGATCGTACCTCGGACCTCATGTGAAAGAGTCATTGGGCTTGACAACGTACAGTTCACATGGCTGACAATATTTTAAATGGCTATTATACAAATGATGCATGTTTTCATTCGTTCATTATACGATCTATCCGCACTCGAGTTGAGGCTGTGTGTATCTATCGCACGAAGTCGTTAGGCTGAGTGCGATAGATACACACAGCACCAACTCGAGTGCGGATAGATCGTATAATGAACGAATGAAAACATGCATCATTTATTTTATACAACGAAATTCCTAGATCCTTGATATTTGATGTAAAAAGAATTAATTCAAGATTGTTTCGTGACAGTAATATGGCTGACAAATAAATCTCAAGTTTTCTTAAGTCTCAATTTAGTGCGCACACATAAGTAAAGATACAGCAAGCGCACTCACCTCTACACCCATTTACGCATATTGCTGCGCAAGAATAGGCCCATGCACACGCAGTATTACTGAAGCGCTCCAACCTCTACGCGCACTACTGCGCGCTCTGAAAACGAGTTCAATAGTACTGGAAAATATTGCACTCCTTTTCAGGAAAACAAGGGCAACAGGCTCAGTAAATGAATCACACGTGACCGCGCATGACCAATCATTTGATTAGGATCTAGGAGTGAGTTGTATAAAAGTAATTATCCAATTCCTCATAATTGTACCATATAACACGAGTTTTATTAAGGAAGTTACATTCATTGCCAAAAAGGCTCAGAATTGCATTCAAGATGCCTCTGCTTGTTTACAAAGCTTTGCATGCATGGTCAAACCACGAATCATTGGTCGGAAATACTATCTTTTCCATCGCAACCACTTTCACATAACTTACGAAGTACACAAGACAGGTACTTTAAATAAAATTGGCTTACAATGATTAAAACTTTCTGTTGAACAAAATTAACTTGCTGTTATATATGCTTGAACTAGGATGTCTTGCCATGACCCCTCGGCGTGCCCCCACCCAGGCGCGCCTGCGGGTCATGGCAAGATGCGCGCACGTTCCATTGAGCATATATAACAGCCAGGCCTCGAATTTTAAAGCAGTCGATATGTCTTTTATATGCCGAATTGAAACAACAATCTACCAAGAATTCTTTCTCATCCCTTTATTGAATAAAGGTTGGTTAAGATATCAAGGAAAATCTGAGAAACTGTCCGTTTATCTTTGCTGGAAAAATGACTGAAAGTTTTAATCATTTGGGAATCGCAGAGAAAAAGCACTGTATGGTGTCCGCGCTCGCACAAAGAAAATGTTAACATGTAAACCAATGGGGATCTGAGCACAATTGATTTATGCGGCTTGTTACCCGGGGCAACGGCATATCACTAATGAACTATTGACCATTTCTTCGTCTCTTTCAGGGCTTTTCGAGAAGTCCCTTTTCATTTTATTTCTTCGTTTTCTGCGACTGAAATTATTTCAGTAGTCTATCTGCCTCTTTCTCTCTCTCTCTCTCTCTCTGTTTATACTTCAATCTTTCACTTAAACACCTTTCTCCTATTTTCTCCTCATATATACAGTTCCTCCTTCTCATTAAATGTCTTTTGTATTCATGAACAATTTTGTTATTATAACTTATAAAGCAATCATTATTTTATATCTCATATCTTCATTGTATTGTATAATAACAAATAATACTGATAATCATAATAATGAAAATACTGATATTAATTAATCCTGATAATAATAACTAGTTATAATTAGATAACAATAATTATGATTATATTGATAATACATTAAGGATGATAATAATAATGAAAATGATGATACTGATGATAATGAAAATGATGATGATGAAGATGATATATAATAATAGGATACATACATGTCTTAAATTGTCTTTATTGAATACATATACTGTATGAATCACACATGTACTCAAAAAGTATGCAGCAGTCATCCATATTGGATAATTTATTTAAGTACTTCACTATCCCATGTATAATATATATATCTAATTATAAAAAATACATATGGTTAAAAGAAATATATCATATGAACACAAATATATATACATAAAAACATGCAGCCTTGCTAAAAACATGAAAGACTCATAAGAGGTTAACCTAGTAGTAGTACTGTATAATGAATTGCTTGGAGGAACATGAATATCGAAATTAAACAAAAGATAAATTGCATGGTTATAAAATGATAATTCATATTTTCAAATGGCAATGAAACAAGATAAAATTTGCGTGCGTTAATAAATTGACTTGTCATTGTGCTACATGACAAATTCATTGAAGGCCTGCTTTTTCAATACATCAGACTTAAATTCATGTCTTTCTTTCCTTTTCCTATCAAATTCATGTTTACATCATTATTGTAGCGAGACGTTACAAAACAAGAGTTAGGATCTAAGTGAAAGTTTTGTTTACAGATCCCTTAATTTTCATATTATCAGCATAACATTTTTTAACTAGTAGAACAAACAGGTCCTTGTTACAAAGTTGCGTGGTATCAGCATATTAAGATTTGTCCATGTTTTCTCAAAATTACCATGCGAGTCTGACATATTATTTTGAAAAAAATTCTTTGGGTTATTTTTCTTTTATATAAATAATGTGATTATTGCCTTTTCTGAGTGCTTTCCTAATCTCACGAGTATTATTTCGCGTTGCATTTTCTTTCAACTTATTCCTTTCAAATGCAAGTAAGCCCTCCATTAATCAAATAGCATGATTGTTTCTAACCGAGAATTAGCATAACATCAATTCAACCAGTCAATCGGTCAAATGCAAGTAAACCCTTAATTAATCTAATAGCATAAGCATAATTGTTTCTTACAGAGAATTAGGATCATAACATCAATTCAATCCGTCAATCGGTCAAATGCAAGTAACTCCTTAATTAATCTCATAGCATAAGCATAATTGTTTCTTACAGAGAATAAGCATGATAACATCAATTCAATCAGTCAATCGTTCAATTGCAAGTAAACCCTTAATTAATCTAATAGCATAAGCATCATTTTTCTTAACGAGAACTAGTATGGTAACATCAATTCAATCGGTCAATCGGTCAAATGCAAATAAAACCTTAGTCAATCTAATACCATGATTGTTTCTAACAGAGAATTAGCAGGATAACATCAGTTCAATCAGTCAATCGTTCAAATGCAAGTAAACCCTTAATTATAATAATAGCATAAGCATAATTGTTTCTTACAGAAAATTAGCAGGATAACAGCAATTCAATCAGTCAATCGGTCAAATGCAAGTAAACCCTTAATTAATCTAATAGCATAAGCATAATTGTTCGTTACAGAGAATCATCATGATAACATCAATTCAATCAGTCAATAGGTCAAATGCAAGTAACTCCTTAATTAGTCTAATAGCATAAGCATAATTGTTTCTTACAGAGAATTAGCACGATAACATCAATTCAATCGGCCAATCGTTCAAATGCATGTAATTCCTTAATTAATCTAATAGCATAAGCATAATTGTTTCTTACAGAAAATTAGCATGATAACAGCAATTCAATCAGTCAATCGGTCAAATGGAAGTAAACCCTTAATTAATCTAATAGCATAAGCATAATTGTTTCTTACAGAAAATTAGCAAGATAACAGCAATTCAATCAGTCAATCGTTCAAATGCAATTAAACCCTTAATTAATCTAATAGCATAAGCATAATTGTTTCTTACAGAAAATTAGCAAGATAACATCAGTTCAATCAGTAAATTGGTCAAATGCAAATAAGACCTTAGTTAATCTAATACCATGATTGTTTCTAACAGAGATTAGCAGGATAACATCAGTTCAATCAGTCAATGGGTCACTAATGCAAATAAGACCTTAATTAATATAAGTGTTTCTAACAGAGAATTAGCAGGAGAACATCAATTAAATCAGTCAATCGGTCAAATACAAGTAGACCATGATTGTATACAATTTGATATTTAGCATATCCAGAAGAAAACCCATCTATCCATAAGAAGTATGTAACTAATTCACTAACTTTTTTTGTTTTGAGTTCCGTTGTCATATTCGTTCTTTGTCCGTAGGTTAGTTCTCTGGTGATCGATCAATAATGGATTGGATTTCGAACCACACTATTGTTCTGTAACGAAGAAAAAATGAAGAAAAACGAAAACAAAGTTTGAAAGAAAATACATATCAAATGGTATTAAAGTATACCAATCACATTAACAAAAATATTTATTTACTGCTAAAATGTATAACATTTTACGCTTCATTTTAAAACTTATCCCTATTCATTTCCAAGGAATAGAAGGTAATAGGATAGTACAGAATATGTATTTTTCAAAGTTTGGCAAGTCCAGATGTATGTCCACCAGTGTCCACTTCTTTAATATCAATCTAATATCACAAACATTGTCATAAATTGGGGTTCACTGCTCCTCTAACTGGTCTTAAATCACGATACTTTCCCTGAAACTACACTCTGGTCCTTGGCCCAGCGAAAATGATGTGAAGAAATGTAAAAGGTTCCTTTTCTGTGATGATACGTGATTACATAATCACCATTATCGCGTCAAATGAATGTCCTCATCAACATACACATCTTTAGGCGGTGGTCATGATGTGATCAAAGAAAGACTCATTATAAGTCCATCAGTAGTAGGGATCATGTAAATAGTGAGGCAAAGCAATAAATAATCAACGTCTAATTGTTTGTGACCTCTTTGCAAGCTTTCGTAGCTTGTTATGTATGAAAATGAGTTCATACTGGAATTTGGGCTCGCTGTGGTACCAACAAATAAGACGCCAACGGGTGCACTGCTTGTTTATTAATTGATTCTGTATTTTAGGTTATAGTATAGGTTTTTCCGCCCAATTTCATCAGAGTTGCATTCGAATTCATGAATATGCGTTGAAGTTCGAACGATTTTCGTGAAACCTCTGCTCTCATGGTTCATTTTCATTCTTTGGACATTCAATTTCATTTGATATCATTCCTTTTTAATTTTATTTCTTTCAATTAAGAGAGAAATCTATTCAATTTAGTGACGCGAAGTTGTCATTCAATTTCGCGCCAGCTGGATAGACGTTCAATTTCGTCCTTAATACCAATTTCAATTTCATTTATAGGCACACACCTTCGCAATTTGAACATTCGAAATAAATCAACATAAAGAAGTTCTGTAGTTCTATGTAATTCTTACCGCAATTTTTTCACGTCATATTAACTTTTTTTCACTGTTTTTAATTGTTATAATTTTAATTTTTTGTTTGTTAACTTTCATGTTTATTTTAATCATATTTTATATATTTCTTTTCTTACTAATCTTTTTTTTCAGTTTCAATTTATTCCCTAGCAGTATGCATATAAAACTTACATAATGGTTATATTTCATAATTTTATTACATGTAAGTAAGTACTTATCATGTATTTACTTACGTTATTATTATGTAAGATATTTCAATATAAGGCAAAGATCCGATTTCAAGGTTCATAAAGTTTGCATCAATAAATTTATTCAAACAGATGCAGATTGCAAATAATTGAATCAGTAAAAAAAAAAGACTGCGCAAATGCTACACATGATTACCTATTCATAAAATTGATTACCTAAGGCCCCCATCACACCTAACTTGTTCTCACTACGTTCTGGAACCGTCCTAGAAAATCGTAAAACGGGTTGTGGTCGGGGCTATCCTTTATTTATTCCTTCTTTCACCTTCTCTTATGTTATTCTTTGTATTTTATCATTCTATCACTTTCTCTTTCTGTCTTTCCTTATGTTATTCGTTGTTTCGTCCTTCTATCACCTTCTCTTAGGTTATTCTCTGTTTTTATCATTCTGTCACCTTCTCTTTCTGCCTTTCCTTATGTTATCCCTTGTTATTTTCTTCTATCACCTCCTCTTGTTATTCATTGATTTCATTATTCTATTATTTCCTCTTCATATGGCAAAGTTTCTAAAGAGAGGTATATAATAGATCACAATAAAGTATTTAGAGACATTTCCGATGCATTAATAACTATTACAAACCCAGATTATTATCATTCATATTATTTTTATTAATCAAAACATATTGGGAATTTGGAAAGGGCAGCTTTAAAACTGAAAATTATGCATCATATGTCTACACAAAGTGGGATAAAAGGCCACGAAACAACGTTGCCGAGATATCAGTATTCGCAAAAGTGTGCCAAACTCAAATACGGTTGGCCAAAGTCTCCTGATCAATGACACTGCGAATGCAGATAATTGTCAAATGCAAAGAATCTTCAACGTACCATTTCTCTCCCATCTACCAAGTAGATATTCCTGAACTTGCGATCATCATGAGGCTGTTGGCAAGACGAACAACAAATAAAGAACCACTCGATATTTTTTGTTTCTTTCAAACATTGTATATAGATTATTAACCTGAAAGGATACTGATGTAAAAACCGATAATCAAGAACCAATATGTATCATTAAAAAAAATCACACCATAACAAAACCATCTTTCACTGGACCTGTTTATTAATTTTGTGCATACTTAAACAAAAAATATTCCTCTTGACTAGTCAAAAGGTTGCCAGAGGATTGTCCAACATAGAAAGAACTAATGTAAAGCAAAGTGGATCCCATTCATAGAGGTGTAATTATGAGTTATTCATATAGCAGGTAAAAGCAATGGCTGGTAATGGGGAGAAGAAACTTAGATTGAAAGAGTTAGTAAACAGAATACATGACGGATTAAAGAAAAGGAATAAAATGTGACATGACAAGAATTGTGAAATAACATATTTAAACATGTATGTCTAAGAAAATTCAGTATATTAAGACTTGGAATGGTTCATTTTCCTGAGACTTAATGTCAAAGTGGGGATGTCGTGGTATAGTGGTATATAATGATTCATTCACTCGACTTTCCATCCAAGGTTTGAGGGTTCGAATCTAAGCCAAGAAATAATGTCCTTAGGCTGGAATTAATCCACATTTACTAATCTCTATCGAGGTACTAAATGGGTACCAGGCATAATGCGAAGGTCACTGTAGTTTGCTTAGCATTGGAGTATCTGTTAAATGGCACTTGGCTGGAACGTGCGTACATTTGTATTCATTGTTTGTGGGCAAGCCTGAACCCCGATTACCTGGGTAATAATATATAAAAAAAAGTGTTAAGAGATATTTCCGATGCATTAAAGACTATTACAAACCCAGTTTATTATCATTTCCATATTTACATTAATTCAAACATATTGGGAACTTTGAAAGGACAGCTTTAAAACTTATAAACTACGCATGAAATTTCCACATACAGTGGGTATAAAGGCCACACAACAACGCTGCCGAAGTAGCAGTAATCGCAAAAGTGTCCAAATTCAAATACGGTTGGCCAAACTCTATAAATCAATGAAACTGCGAATGCAGAGAATTGTCAAATGCAAAGAATCTTCAACGTACCATTTCTCTCCCATCTGCCAAGTAGATATTCCTGAAATTGCGATCACCGCGAGGCTGTTGGAAAGACGAACAAACAATAAAGAACTACTCGATATATTTTGTTTCTTTCAAACATAATGTATAAATTATTAACCTTAAAGGATACTGATGTAAAAAACGATAATAAAGAACCCATGTGTATCATGAGCAATAAATTACAAAAAAAAATCAACTTTTGCTTGACCTGTTTATTACTTTTATGCATACTTTTTAAACACATATTCCTCTTTATTAGTCAAAAACTTGCCAGAGGATTGTCCAACATAGAAAGAATTAATGTAAAGCAAAGTGGATCCCATTCATAGAGGTGAATATAGCAGTAGAATGAAATGGCTGATAATAGGGACTTTTAGATTGATTGGACGAGAAAGGCGTGAACGTCCACTGATCATGTGTGTCTATGGCAAGCCATTTTTAACATTCATTCCTATTTCTTGATATCAAGAATTTAATCCTTGATATCAAGAATTACCATTGCTTTACAACAGAAAATCATTTCTTGATATCAAGAAATAGGAATAATTATTAAAACGGCTTGTCATAGACAAGCATGATCAGTGGATGTTCACGCCGTTCTCGTCCACTTAATCTAAAATTCCATATTGGAAGAAGAAACAGAGGTTGAAAGAGTTAGTATACAGGTCCATTCAATGTGATCATTTATTTTACAGCTACTGATAACTCTTTACTGATATTCAGAGTTTGACAATGATTTTTTGTGATTATTTTAAACAGTGGTATAGCTCCAAGAGGCTTGACGCCTCTCCATTCCTTCAGGGTTTTCATGCCGAGGGTTGTATATGTTGTACAAATAACAAGTTTTGTCAAGCACAAATTGCTCTACCAAAGGAAAGTGTAAATCATGGTAATTTAAACCACGTGTAGAGCATCAATCATGCGTTCTAAACATTTACCAATTAATATAATTGTTTTTAGAAAAATTGTATATCTTTTGGGGGATCTCTTCTCCCTATAATATGAAACAGTAATAAAGAAATGAGAACATAAATTTATGAAACTAAAATGAAACACATTTTCATATCTCAATAAAATGTCATGCATGAAATAGTTTAAAGAAGGGGAAGGACGGTGTCGTAAGAAATGGTAATGAATTTCCTATAACTTGTGTACACAACATTTCGAACTACAAGCGATGGCAAATGAAGTGCAGATGTTTGAACACTACAAATTGTTCATCTTTTAGGTAATTTGTTGGAAAGCCTTTGGTATATCTAGTCCATGATAAATACCATATTAAACATGAACTTAGGATTATTTGTGTTGTATATAAAGCGTTAATCACGTGCACAAGGAAACTGTTTATACCGGCGCATCAGTTCCTCCCAGTCGATACAATTCTTGACCAACACCATATTGCCCCTCGTTTCTGTAGAAGCCTCTATCTCGTCTACTTCGATCCTCATACCGTCCTACACTGAAGAACAAAAACACACATTGTTATAATTTTATTTAAGTGTGAAATGTGTAAATATTGTGAATAATCGCAACACCAAATTTACAAAATGTGTTGAGACAGCAGACGATGATCACTGAGAACCGGAAGTGAACAATCAATTGGTTCACTGCATCTCAAAGAGAGATCGAGAGGGATCTGTCGTTACATAGAGGTAGACAGTTTGATAGATAGGAAGATAGACAGGTAGTTATATAGGTACATATATAGATAAACATGGATATGTAGACATATAGATAAGTAGATTGATAGATAGATAGATAGGTAGATAGGTTTATATATAATGTATGTACATAGGGTAATAATAACTACAGGCCCTTAGGAAGAACAGTATTCCAACTGATAAAATATCCCTGGGTACACAATATTATTATTATTTGTGTAAGTAGAGAGATAGATGGATAAAAAGAATGTAGGTAGGTAGGTAAAGAGAGATATATATTGGCAGTTAGATTGATGTATATATTTAAAGAGGTACATGTAGGTAGTGGAGTTAAAAAATCACATGTGCTTTTTGTCTAAAAAAAGGTTCTAAACTAAATGTTTGATTTATCGAGTTCATTCACAGGGTTAGTTTTTTTTGACAAACACATGAACACGTACTTACAAAATCACAAGTTTGAAAATATGAACTTTTTTTGCTGAATTTTCTTGCTATTAAAAGAAAATTACTTTTTTCTCTCAATTTTTTCTGGGGAAGTGAACGAATATTGAATTGTTACAAAACGTCCTTGGAAATTATTCTTTTCTATGGATAATTTCTAACTATGATTCAAACAGATTGTCAATAAGAGTTATATCACTTGGCAAAGCACCTCTACATGTAGATACATGTAAGGCAAGTCCAAAATACATATAGTTTCCATAGATTACTAAGTATTATGGCATTGTCACAATGGAATTTTTAACATAAACCACCATTTGATTTCATGCTGTCTGATTTCATTGTCTGATTCAAGCTGTAGTACAGCTATCATCTTGCTACAGTAATCGGATATACTGAACTCATAGATGTGGTCAGTAACTTATGGGAAATAATAGCTTGGGCTTGCTCATTTGCAAATTTATTGTAATACTTACTTGAGCATTGAATTTGTTCCTTTATTTCGTCTGGCACCTTGTATGAAAACGCAGCAGACACAGTTTACGAGGACGCAAACAAAACCAAAAACTCCGAAAGCAATCCCAATGATTGCTATATCCGACAATCCTTGAGGAGCTTGAAAAAAAAAATCAAATAGGCGATTATGAAGAAAAAAAAACAAACTAGAAATGTGTACATGTACGCGAAATCAGTATTGACTGTGCCAAGCAAAGAGAGTACCGTAACATCGATTTCGTGTTAAACTGTATATACATCCTTAATACAGCGTCATTAGACAGACAAATGTAGTGAAAATGAGTCATTGAATAAACATGGTCATTAGCAGGACATTTTTATGTCATGTTAACGACTGAGCAATATAATTACTGCCCTTAACGTACGTTTGCAGGCAGAGAAAACTAAAAGGCCTACCAACATTTAGTCATTAGTCATTTGTGAAATTAGTTACATGTATATTGTTTTGAATTTTTGGTTAGGTTTAGGGTAATATACCAGTTTTCATGATGTCCTGTTAATGTACGATGTAAGGTTATATATATATATTCAGCGTGAGTCCAAAAATAAGTTAACACCTAGAAAATTGCTAATTATTTTAAGAATCATATATTAGCAGTAAATTATCATACATCTTATGAAAGAGTGTTTTATTACAAATCATTTGGTGTCATTTTTGTGTAGTATGTGTTCAAGCTTGGATGAACAGGAGGCATTGTTTGCGAGAGTGCAAAAATCGATTTGCGCCAACGTTGCTTATGTGATGTTTGAATAAAATAATCGGGATTTCGGTATTATTTCGGTATTTTCAGATACAAATAACATCATTAACAAAATTTATCATGCCACACACATATTAATATCGAATATCAGATATCCACGAACGTTTGTGCGCGCGTGTGTGTCGGTGTGTGAATTTGCTTCTGTAAAAAGCATACCATGCAATGCATTTCATTTGATACATTTAATTCATTCTCTCACTCCGCTAATCCCAACATAATTCATACTGTATGCATCACTTTGGCGCAAGTCGATTTTTGCACTCTAGCAAACAATGCCTCATGTTCATCCAAGCGTGAACACATAGCACACAAAAATGATACCAAATGATTTGGGATAAAACACTCTTTCATAAGATGTATAATAATTTACTGTTCATAAATGATTTTAAAATAAACAAATTTCTAGGTGTAAACTTTTTTTTTGACTCACGAGGGAGAATGAGTGAGAGGGCACATAAACACACTAAAAACAGAATAACAAAATATATTAGTGTAAAAGTTTGTTATCATAATTATAATCATTGAACCTGAATCTGTCTGAAATATCATTCTTTGAGAATTATCATTGATAACAACATTACACAACCTACCATTCTGGCAAAGGTCTCCTGTGAATCCAGCTGGGCAATCACAAGGCTGTCCAGGAGAAGTACAAGCCCCACCGTTCTGGCAATTTGATTGATCGCACTGAACTGTTCATTTCAAAGATATATGAATGATTCAAATTACTTCTGATAACTGACTAACTTATTTTATCGTTTTTTTATTGTGAAGGTATAGACATTAGACGGACAATAACTCCATAACTACTATAATATGAACGAATAATAATAACGATAATAATAATTCAGTATGTCCTTTGGCAGCTTTATGTGTACACTTTTTGAAATTGTCTAATCTAAAGAACATTAAGTATGAAAGATTGTTATATGACATATAGCAGTAGAGTGATTGCCCCTACTTCTTTCGGTACTAGTTTTGTTGTGCTTCTACTCCCGGTTGAAAGCACAGGGGTCGAATTACTTGAATTGGACAGATATCATAATTTGAAGCCTAAAACGATTTGTCACTAACAAGTTTTAAACTAGTTGGATTTTCGACTGGTCGCAATCGTAAATGATGCCTGTGCCATAGAGCGATTTTACCAACCCAAACAGAAGCAATTACAAAATATTCAAGTGTCATTATAATCCATTTACAGGTTCACAGAATATCGTGATTAAAGGCCGTTTTCATATACATGTACAGTATGACCCTTTGAAATTTGACCTCATGATCCTAAAATCTAATCAGTTAATTGGCTCTGCAAGATACATACATGACCCAAATTTTACGCTAGTCCACCAATCGAATCAGTTCTTGAGACAACGCGATCATGAGAACGGGACGTACAGAAGTACGGACGGATTTACGGCCAAAGGGACAACCAGGAAACATAATGCCTCAAGTTTTCTTGTAGCGGAGGCATAAAAACAAACACTATTTGCTGTTTCTTGTAGGATATCTTGAAAGCAACATCTTATCACTTGGGTGCATTAGATGGTGAGATGATCCAGTCCTTAGTGATAGAGAGTTGATTCTTTATTACGCTTCTTGCATTTTTGTTTTAATTCGAAAAGTTGTTACACTCTTTTGGAATGAGTATGAGCTCACATGCAAAAAAAAAAATCATGAAAAATGCGATTTGGATAATGGACGACAACATCATGTATATTGAAACTGAATGAACTTTGCTATTGATTTGTTGGTTTTTATATTCCTGTCTCTCCAATATTTTACAAAGTTGGTCATGAAACCTAGATTATTCCTTATGGAAAAATATAAACTCGTATTTAGACATACCATTGCAAGAATTTTCATTCACTAATGTGAATCCAGTGTTGCAGACACAATTGTATGATCCATCCGAGTTGATACATCTTCCATTGTTACAGAGACTTGTATCTATCGCACACTCATTAACATCTATGACAAAGTGGTAAAATCAAAATATGAAATAATCCTATGAATTACTTTAAAATATTTATTATGATATAAACAGTGATAATATTGATAATGTTAATAATCATAGCAAATACAATAATAATAATAGTAAATACAAGAATAATAATGATAACAATAATGCTGAAATTGATGATGATTGCCATTGTCTTAATTTAATGGTTGAATTCTTGAAATGATATTGCCTTGTGCAAAAAACTTAAAATAATTGGGAAAAAGTTAAGACATTTTAAAAGTATGTTAATCGTGGTATTATATTAAATGAGAAAATTACAAAGATTAACATTTGAAACATGAGAACGTTCAGACTCTGTCCCTGGCCCACATTACAAGAATGTTATGAAACATTGCTTTACTCATTGCAAAAATATGAGATCATGGTTAATACAATGAAGTAGATAAATATTTAAAAGGTGACTTTCAAATACATTTTCATATATATATATATATATATAGATATATATATATATATATATATATATATTACTAAAGGCGTCATTAGAGAGACATTTGGAGTGAAACAAATTAGTCATTAAGTAGACATTGTCATTGGGGGTTAGGATTTTTATAATGTCCACTTAATGTACCATGTAGGGTTATATATCATATATATATATATATATATGCCAAGGGAGAATGAGTGACAGGGAGCATGGAAAACTAAAAACAACTGACTTATACAATCTATTCGAGTAAGGATTTGTTATCATAAATATAATCATCGACAAATTGTCTGAAGTATCATTCTTTGATGATACACCATTGATAAAAACATTACACAACGTACCATTCTGGCAAAGGTCTCCTGTGAAACCAGCTGGGCAATCACAAGGCTGTCCAGGAGAAGTACATGCCCCACCGTTCTGGCAATTTGATTGATCGCACTGAACTGTTTGTTCCAAGGATATATGAATGATTCAAATTATCCAATTACTTCTGATAACTGAGCAACTTATTATATCGTTATTTTATTAAAAAGTATAAACAGTGGAAGGACAATAACTCATTAACTATTCTAATAATAACGATAATATCAATATCCAAACAATACACAACAGTGGTGAGGGCATTATTAGGAATTACCCATATAAGGTAGAGGTGTCGTGGTCGAGTGGATACATCGCTGGACTGTCGATCACATAGTCCGCGGTTCGAGTCGCGCCGCAGCACTAATGTCCTTTGCGAGACAGTGATCTTCATTTAACACACTCCACCCAGGTGACGTAAATGGGGACCGGGTAGGAATTATCCCTTGAAACGTAGCGCGCGTGACAGCTGCACTACTGAATCAAGGGTAATTATGCTTCATTATTGTAGAGCGCTAAGAGACTTCTGATAAAGTAAGTGTTAGGTGCGATATAAGCAAATATAATTATTATTACCTTTGCAACATTCTAACATGCCCGAGGCGATAGCCGAGGGTGTTTGGACTGTTTTGAAAATACCGAGTGTGGGTAATTTTACTAATGCCCGAACAAAATGATGTGTACTATTTGTTTTCAAAGATTATGTTTTATTTGTTTTATAGAATGATGCCTTTTAACATGATTTTACTAATGACCAGTCATTATCAAAATTATATGTTAGGCAAAATAAATGCCTGGTCACGTGTACGCTCTAAACTAATCATTTGATTAGGATCCACGCCATCATCTTATTATACAGTATACTTAATACTACATGTGCATTGACAGCTTTATGTGTACACTTGTTGAAAGTGCCTACTTAATTGAACTGTAAGTATGAAGTGTTGTTATATGACATATAGCAGAAGAGTCATTCCTCCTGCATATTTTGGTACCACTTTTGTTGGGCATCTCATCACGGTTGACTGCACAGGGGACGAATCACTTGAATTGGACAATGTCAAACTCCATGTCTTTTTTTGCTTTGGTATCGATACATAACCATTTTTTATTTGAAATTGTATGATGACATAACCATCGATTGAAATGCAAGTCACTCCGAGAGATAATTTGAAGCCTAAAATGAACTGTCACATAAAAGTTTGAAAAATAAATATTTGTTGATTGTAGTAGAATAGCTTGAAAGCTGCATCTTACTTGGTTGCATTACATTATCAGAAATTAACTCCAGCCATTAGTGATACAGAGTTAATTACCAATTAATCTTAGATATGATATTGCAAATAATTTAGAACCATCGAATTACAATATCAAAGACTATTCACATTTACAAGGCCATACTATTTTCTAATACAAAAAGTATCTGAAATTGACTTGTCGATTGTGTCCATTGGCATTGCCTGAAAGTTGCTTTCTGTACATTGAAGACAACTGAAAGAAACTCATTTAAAGATACCAATTAACAGTCATCAACATTATTTGCTTTGAAAACTAAAAATATAATGTTTGTATGTGAAACACGAAGTCCTCTTGTGAGGTGTCTTAAGTGAAGAATGGCATGTGAAAAAGGCTGTCATTTACTCTTACCAATTGCCGATGTAGACGCCACCAGAGTTTGACCATTAGCTGAGAAAGGTTGATCAACGCTGGTAGATAAGGCAGTTAAACTCATAGCAAGCCCATCTGCTACACTTTGGCTGGAAGCGGCAAGTTCCATTTGCACGTCAGCGACTACGCTACCTTCGCTAAATGATAACACTATGCAATTAGCATCGACAAGTTGAGAATCTAGCTGTTCCCTTACATATTGGTTGAACTGTTAAATGAGAAAGTAGAGAAAACAAGAACAGACTATGCCTAAATATATAGTGTAGTTTAAAAAATAGATTTCCTTTAATAATTTCTTTCACAGATAAAGATCAGTTCCAGTTATGCCTTGAAAAGTAAACTGTTTCAAATCATTAGAAAAAGGTTCATCGTGTAGTACACGTGGATTGATGCGAGGTTCTGGAATCATTAAAATGATCAGAAAAAAATAAACATTATTAAGCCATAGCAGTATAATGTCTCCTCTTAGTGACTTTTTCGTTTTGTCTAATTGGGATCCAAAATGTTAGGATGTACACATTACACATGAGCAGAAAGATACAAAATCACAACAATTTGAATCCAATGCAATTCACTGTGCCATTCTCCAATTGAGCGATTTAATTGCACGTTATCTTTTATTACGATTTACCTGTACAAATATGTCATTTTTTAACCTAAACTTTGCAATTTCCTTTCGCATTTGTTTATTAAATAACAATTTCTATATTTGTTTAAATGAAGAAGGAGTGGACAGTCAGATTAATTGTTGCTAATTTGAGGAGGGAAAAATATATTTTTAAAGAAAACTAGAAATATCGCAATGTGTACTGCCGCGCAATGCGAATGTATCCCCCGACAGTGGTAGCAATTTTGTGTCATCCTTATGTTCGAAGGAAGGACAAAGATCCTCTCTCCCCTCCCTGAAACAAAAGGATGCCATACAGATCACCACTAGTGGTTCGGACTATTGGCAAGACTAGGAGCAGCATCACCAAAACAATATGTGTGTAGATTAGAGTATAATGTATCTCTGTACAAAATTTGACAGACATCTGTCAAGAAATGTGGCAGTTATAGCGCACGAAAGACAGCCACCGAAATATAACCTTTGACCCTATAACATACGCAACACAGATGGCAGCATCACCAAACACTAAATATGTGTAGATTGTACTAAGACACACCTCCGTACAACATTTGAAAGAAATCCGTCAAGAAATTTGGCAGTTAGAGCGCTTAAAAGACACATGACCTTTGACCATATAAAAGACGGACCGATGAGGGCAGCATCGTCCAAAAGTGTAGATGTATAGATTGTACCAAGAAACTTCGCCATTCAAAATTTGAGAACAAAAACAAATCCGTTATGAAATATGACTGTGCAGAGCGCATACTAGACACCCACCAAAATATGACCTTTGACCTATAATAAACGAACATTGGTGACAGCATTGTAAAAATCTTTGAATGAATAGTTTTTACATACCACTAGTAGAACTGGAGGTTACTTGTAGATGCCGAAAAGTAGGAGTACCCAATAAACAAAACACTAAAAAAGTAACCTCTTTTGGGAGTGTATTTTAAGTGATTTTAAAGTATGGTGCCTTTTGAACTAGATTTAAACGTTATCGACACGTTCCTTCATTTAAACAAAAAAGGTACTCCTGTTCACGTTTTCATCTAACAGAAAAATCACCAATTTATCACGCGACTGGAGTAACGTGATTCCACTTACCTCTGTAAATCAAGTGTTTATGATTAAACAACCACTTTACTAAGCAACGAGTTTTTTTGTCCGTTAACCGATGGTGGTGATAAATAAGCAATTATTAGGTCTTGTAAGCACCTTTATCGATTGGTTTCACAGGTTATCCAAGGATGATGGTAATAATCACGTTACTTACACCGGCTAAACGTCTTATTGTTCTGTCCGTGAATCTCTGGTTATATTAAATTAGTAATTCTGAGGTGTCTTTCACACCTCTTTAAATGGTTTCAAAATTACCATGACTTTCTTGGTTACGATCACGTAGCTAAAACTGATTACTAATCTAAGCTGTGAATCCGTGATATTTAGGTGTGAAAAATTAGTAATTATTAGGTGTCTTAAAACGCCTTTTTAAATGGTTTCAAAGTTACCATAACTTTCTTGGTGATGATCACGTAGCTAAATCTGATTACTAATCTAAGCTGGGCATCGGTGATTTTTAGGTGTGAAAAATTAGTCATTATTAGGTGTCTTAAAACACCTATGTAAATGGTAGTCAAACTTGCAAGCAGTTCCGCGGTGATGATCTCGTGGCTCAAACGGATTATTAATTTAAGCTGGGTATTCCGCGATTTCTAGGTGTAAAAAATGAGTTATTTGTGGGTGTCTTGATGATTTCACAGTTACCATTAAAGTTCCGTGGTGATAATCCCGTGACTGTTGGCATATTTCTATTTTCACCAGTTGATAACTGACTGGTGGCATCTTTTCATTGCACCAGTTGATAACTGGTCTGTGTGCATATTTCCAGTTGCACCAGTTGATGACTGACTGTTGACCTATTTCCAGTTGAACAAGCTGACACCAATTAATTTGCATGTTGAATATGGAGTGCGTGCAGATCTATGTTTTTTAAACAATTTATTTGAATTTACAGCATATTTCTTAATTACTGATGATTTAGTTATATGCAATTCATTTCGAAAATACTAGAAATATAAATTACCAGTTATTGGGACATTTCGCTAGTTCGTATAAATTACATTTAATTAAACATGAATAAGGGAAACATTAACTATGAACTAAAATAATTTCAAAAATACAAGTATATGAAAAAAAAATCGATTAATTAAATGATGTAAGTCTACTTATTACCAATGCCTTTACATTGGAAATACAGACGTACCAGTATTGAAGTGTTGTTGCCGTTCAACTGGTCGGAAGTTTTACCAAATGGTTCTAATGACTCAGCTAGACCAGTTGAATTCTAACTGGCCTGGATCAACTGGATCATTTAGCCCATTTCAAATTCCGGGGTTACCAGTTGCATTAACTGGTTCATCAACTGGACCAGTTGTAACTAGCTTTCTCTTCTGGGATGTTAATTTGCACCATCCTCCCCCCCCCCCCCCCACCCACCCCTCTAATCCCAAACTGCTTACGGCGCGCATGGACGTAATTATGGAAGATCCAAACACTATGTTAAGAAACGGGATGAGAACGTCATTATTTTGGTTTATTTATTGTGTAACATTTGGGTAATTATTGGGTTGAACGCGGGTTACGGTAACATATTTTCTGTTCGACGTAAATTTCACGTGAATGAAGAACATGATTCATCTCAAGTTAGCCTCGTAATATTCACGTGAATTTCACGCAGATGTTTTGACTAAAACTATCACTAACGCTTCACGTGTTTCTGTGACGCGATAATTTTGTTTATGAAGATTTCATTTCATAACCAAACAAACACGGGAGTATTAACTGGCTAAATGTTGTATAGCTCCCTCTCAAGGTCAAGATATTAATTAAGCTATAAAACAATGTTTCTTGACTAAAAATCGACCAATTAGCTATTCCCGTTTGGTAATTATATATCCCAACTACATATTCTGAGATTTTCAGGGTCGCAGCTACCATGGC